ATTATGTCATGTGATTGGACTCTTAAAGTGACAGTCCACGATATGTATACAAATACACAACATACTTTCCCCTTTACATCAAAGGTTCCTGCAGTTAAAATATTCACAATTGTATAAACAGCAGACAATAGGTAAGACATCCAGAGGACTGTTGGTGCATTTCAACTGTCTGTTTATAATCAGCTTCCTTTGTACTACGTAAGGCTTCAACCGTTTGAGCGTTTCCACAGATTGCCATTGATTTCAATTTTGCTGGAGCTCATTCACATATATTTAAACGCTGTCTTGATGTCAAGGACAGTCACCCTCACCTCATCTGTGGAGTTCAGCGTTTTTTTTGTCCATAATTGGATCAAGGCTACAATGAGGTCTGAGCTGAGTGGCCTGGTGGAACCCAAACTGAGCACTGGTGAACAAATAATTAGTGAATAAGTGATGCTAATAGTAAATGTGAGGACCAATTGCAATATTTCCAGATTTGCAGATGACACCAAACTGGGTGGAAATGTAAGTTGTGAGGAGGATACAAGGAGACTTCAAAGGAACTTGAACAGGGAAAGTGAACAGGTTAGAACATGGCAGATGGAAAATAATGTGAATAAATGTGAACTTATTCACTTTGTTCGATAAAACAGAAAGGTAGAATATTTCCTAAATAATCTGAGGTTGGGAAGTGCAGATGTTCAGAGAGTTCTGAGTCCCTTGTCGTCGAGTTATTAATAATAAGGGCAGCACGGTGGCTCAGTGGTTAGCACTGCTGCCTCACAGCGCCAGGCACCCGGGTTCGATTCCACCCTCGGGCAACTGTCTGTGTGGAGTTTGCACATTCTGTCCGTGTCTGTGTGCGTTTTCTCCGAGTGCTCCAGTTTCCACCCACAGTCCAAAGATGTGCAGGCCGAGTGGATTGGCCATGCTAAATTGCCCATTGTGTTTAGGGATGTGTCGATTAGGGGGTGCTCTGAGGGTCGGTGTGGACTTGTTGGGCTGAAGGGCCTGTTTCCACACTGTAGGGATTCTATTCTATTTTATTCTAATATTTGGTGTGCAGGTGCAGCAAAGAATTAGGAAGACTAAACAGTATGTTGACATTCATTTCAATGGGATTTAAGTACAGAAGTAAAGATGTCTTACTACAATTTTGTGGAATCTTGGTGAGACCTCACCTAGCGTGTTGTGTACAGCTTTGGTCTCCCTGTCTAAGGATGGATATATTTACATTCGTAGGAAAGCAGTTGATGAATGTATTGGCTGGTCAGCTGAACAGCCTCCTGTCACTGTCAAAGGGCATGAAAGTCTCTGGCTCCAACTCAGCAGAAGAACATTTCACAGGGTGATGATGCTGGCCCCTCTTATAGTTGACCTGCTTGTTCTTTTGTGAGTAACAATCAAATTACTGCAGTGAACTTGTGTTGTCCTACTTTGAAAGCTGGGTGTTACATTAACCAATGAGTCATGCCATGTTATAACCAAACTACGGGTTCAAATCTGTGTCTACTACCTGCATGTATCAGACTACATGCAGGAAGTATTCTCTCGAGCACCCTCTCAGCATATTGTGTGAGCTGGGCAGTGACAAAAGTAATTGGAAGACTTCTGTAGTGTCATCAACAGCAATGTTACACATTTGAATTTCATGGACGCATTTCAATTTGTAATCTCGGCAATTAATATTGAAAGAATCCTAAATTAATGTGGTAGAAATCATAGTCATTTCATACCTAAATGTTTAGATCTAAGGTGCGGCTGAACTAGAGTTTCACGCATGTGAGGTGAACACAGGGGCTTTAAATTTCTGAATGTCATTTTGCCAGTAGCAGCTCTCAAAAAGATGATTTTAAAGGAAAAGTGATTGTGATTGCAAAAGGAGATTAACCAGGAATGTTAGAAAGCAATCAAGATATTAAAAGAGAGTGCAATCGGGACAGAGGTTGAAGCAGTGATTGCAGGCAGTGTGATTGGTAGCCAGCATTGGCAAGCAGTTTTAAAATGGGGTAAGGAAGTGTAATAATACTTCCAGATTCAGATTCAATTTTTTTTACAAGTTTGTTCATTTGGCGGTGACCTGCAATGGTTCCTTTAAAATCTGCTATTTGGTGATGTGTAAATTGTGAATATGTTCAATGCACCCTGTTTAGTACCAAGTGAAAACAGTTTCAAAGTCTAACAACTCTTTCAGAATGCATCTGTTTCGTAATGATCATGAATCTTCCTGTTTGCGACTTTTAGTGCTCAAGTTATTGGGTTCAGTGTCATCAGTTTTCTTAAACCTTGTTAATTTTATGTTAGTTTCTCTTTTGGCAAGCAATCCATACTTTTTATTCATTCATGGACGTGGACTTTGCTGGCAAATATAACATTTATTGTTGAATTTTGAACCTCAATATACTAAAGTTTCTTTTATAGCATTAAAGCAAAAATGTAATATTAAAGAGCTTTACAAATCGTCTTTGGGCTGAAACTTGCAGTAATTGGCTTAGCGTCATTTTTGCTGAGTTTTATAGTGCATTTCTCTCAGCGAGAACTTAACAAATTTTTGTTTGCACTATCAGCTCAAACTCAATTCATTAACTGGCCTATGGGGCCCCGCTCATCCAATGCTGGCCTGTTTCTCTCTCTTGCCCGAGGCAAAATACTCACCTACCACCAGGATTTACTGGGATCCCTGGTGAGGCGCCGTGTTTAAAAGGCTGTGGTGCATCTGCTCAATTGCTGGCAGTCTGGAGTTGCCCTACATGATTCAAGACATTTATCTTGTACATGCAAGGAACTTGGTATCCTGCTTTGTGCACAGGGACTTCTAAATCTGAGTGGACAGGGTGGTGTGGAGGGGGGCTGTCCTCATTCCACAGGAGGCCACATCAGACCTTGCCAGTTTGTTATGAAGTTACAGCTTTAGTCAGTGCTGTATCAACCATATGGAAGAGCACCCAGCAATGCAGGATGAAGATCAATAACCTTTTCCCTCTGCCAGGCTAAGTACCATTAACTTCTCTCTGCTCCCTCACACTCACTGTAATTCTGCTGCTGCTGCACCCACCTCCCACCGAGGCTCATGAGCAGCTGCTCACACTGTTATATGCAACATCTTCCATTGCTTGCTGTCACCCACTCAATCCCCTCAGACTACAAACCCTGCATGGCCTCTGTGCCCCCTACTCACTCATTCGGGATGCCTCACTATCTTTCCTCCACCTGCACCAGAACTAATGCTAGTCACTTTCATCTCACTCAATACCTTCCTTTCCCTCATCTCAGGAGAAAATATCTCTCACAGCAGGACTGAAAGAGTCACGATGGGTTGTGGGGCATGCGAGGAAAGGATCCTTACCATGGCCTCCCCAAGTGGCTGACTGACTTGCCAAAACCCTTGGACTGATATCAGATGAAATGATTTACTTATTGTGCCTGAAGGGAGTCTCACTTGCCTTACCTAAGGTGTACTACCTGTAGATCTATTTGGTTGAAACACATGCAGTATATTTGGTGCGTATGCAGCTGGCACATGGTACAGGTTTGAGGCTGATGTAGCACAATGCTGTGTAGCAAGATGTTCACCCCCTTGACTGATCACAGTTTACAAACAGGACAAGCAGGACAAACTATTTTTGCACTGAAAAGTAAGGGAATTTAGAAGGACTGAGAGTGTGTTATCTCTGGCTGAGGAGACATAGTACCACAAAGACAAGGTAGAGATGCTGTGAGCATTGAAATGGGTACAAGTGAGCAAATGCTAAGACAGCTAGCAAAAAGCCCTGGTCCAATTAATGAGTTGGGTGCCCATCTCTGGGTGTAAAATATCCTTGCAGCTGTATTCTACTGAAAGGTGCCGGTGCATTCCAAAGTGCAGCACTGACGTGCAGACGCGTCCTGTAAGTGAACTGGAGACATGGAATGATGTGGTGAGGCTGGTATATGTCAGATGCCAAGGTCCGTGGTTGGGCTGTGCATGTGGTTGCTGCCCATGGAATTTGCCCTGAGATGTCATGCCTGATGTCCAAGGTGGAGGACCAGAGGACCAAGTGATGAGCAGGAGTCACCAGCTAACTGAGATAACAAGGTGTAGAGCTGGATGAACACAGCAGGCCAAGCAGCATCAGAGGAGCAGGAAGGCTGACGTTTCGGGCCTAGACCCTTCTTCAGACCCTTTTCTGAAGAAGGGTCTAGGCCCGAAACGTCACCCTTCCTGCTCCTCTGATGCTGCTTGGCCTGCTGTGTTCATCCAGCTCTACATCTTGTTATCTCAGATTCTCCAGCATCTGCAGTTCCTACTATCTCTCACCAGCTAACTGCTCTGATTGTCAGAGACAACAAGGTGCAGGGCTGGATGAACACAGCAGGCCAAGCAGCATCATAGGAGCAGAGAGGCTTGCTCGGATTGTCAGTCAGGACTGGGATGGTGTCTAGTTTCTAATCCCACAGGTGGAACAATAGGAAACTGTATGTTAATGAGGTAAGATTAGGTGATAATGAACAATAATCTATGCACATAGGCTTTTATCTGCTCACTATTGAGAATTTTATCTCACCATTGAACAACTGGATAGAGAATTAAAGTTATTGTTCTCAAAGTCAAGTCGGTTCTCGCTGGACATCTCACCAAATTTTCCTATCTTTCCTGCCATGGTTTATGCTGTTCAGGTGCTGAGAAGATTCAATGCTTTGCTTTAAAACAATGATTTTTCTGAAATATTTGTGTTTCAGGTAATTTATTATTGAAATGTGAAATTGTTGTGTCTGTATATTAGATGTCAAATAGCTTTCTAGTGTAATTCATTGTTAAAATTTGATTAAATAGAAGCAGCAATCAAATAAATGTGCAAAATTATTCGAGCACTGGACCTCAATAACAACATTTTCTACATCACAAATATAAATAGAAGTGAATAGTCATTTATCATGTCAATACTATCCCTTAATTTTTTATCAATATTTTATTGAGTTTAAATGGGCACTATTTCTTCACTCTTGTTGTAACATTCCATTTCATTTGTGTGTTATAGATTAAAACATTAGATTTCTTGAGTATGAATTATCACATCAAAGAATTATACTTACACAACAACCTGCTCACAGATATAACAGGTACAATACATCTTTTCTTAAGTACAGTTAATTTTGGATTGTTTTGCTTGGAAGATAATTTTCAGTTTTTTAAACTGTATTTCAATTTACACTGTTGTTTGTCACCTCTGTTACCAGGGGAATATGTTTGTACAACAAGCAAAACACCATAGCTGCTAAAAATCTAAATGTGCAGGAAATGCTGAAAACACTCAGGTGGTCAGTCAGCATCCATGAGGAGAACAGAGATCGTTGCTTCAGCTAAAGATCCTTGCTGTGATTGGAGTGTTTTGGTACTTTATTGTAATGATTTTAAGTTCAGTTTCACACATTTGGTTCTTAAATATTCTATGGAATTGACAAATTCAGAATGTCTCCATGTCAAGGGGCTTAAAGAAGAGGATAAAGGGAAAAAGCGAAGTTTGTGACAGGCACTAATGGCTCAATACTGTAGGAAAACTGGAGGAAGTGCAGGGGCAAAATTAGAAAGGGATTTAGGAAAGCAATGAAAGGGCATGAAAAAAAGTGGCAAGTAATATCAAGCAAAGCCAAAGATTTTTGTTTATAAGTACACAAAGAGCAAGACGATAACTAAAAAAGATTGTTATGGACCATGTAGGTGTGTAGAGCCAGAGCATATTGTTCCTAAAGAACACTTCTTATATTTTCACCTAAGTGAAGGATGATACAATCAGAAGAGGAATGTGAAATATTCAATTAAATTAACATCACAAGATTACAGTAAGATACATAGTGACATAGTAACATCTTTGACCACGGATAAATATGGCTCCGATAAAATGTATCCTGGTTTGTTAATGAAAACCAAAGAGGAAATTGTAGAGGCTGTAACCATCGTTTTCCAGTCCACACTGGCTTTGTTAATGAAGAAGACATCTGTAGATTTCAGGAATTTATCCACAGTTTAAACAGTAGAACAATGGCAAATATAGTTCAATTTTGAAATGTGTGAGCCAAAGTATTTGGGAAAGGCGATAAATGGTACAAAGAAGTATAAAAGGGAAGAAATGTTTGAAATTAAACCCACAGATCCCTGTAAGTGGCCTGACAGTTAGATAGAATGGTCAAGAAAGCATGTGGGGTACTTAATTTATTTAGCAGAAGCATAGTATATTAGAGTGGAAAGGTTACTTTGAATTAATGTAATAGTTAGAGTACAGATGGAATTCTGGTTGCAGTTCTCATCACTGCACTACAGGAAACATGAGCACATTAGCAGGGGTACAGAGGAGATTTGCAAGGATATTACCTTGTCTTTTTTTTCTGAAGAAGGGTCCAGACCCGAAACGTCAGCTTTCCCGCTCCTCCGATGCTGCTTGGCCTGCTGTGTTTGTCCAGCCCTACACCTTGTTATCTCCCATGTATTCTACTGATTTGAAGATTTTCCGAGGATTCAATTTGGATTCTAAATAATAGAGTATGCAGAACAAAGTATGAGAAAGTGGAATAAGTTAGGTTCCACTAAAATATGTATTCAACCTATTTGTTTCTGCTTGAGAAACCAGAAATTAATTATATTAAATTCAGTTGTTTCTAATCTCAATTCATACTGCAAATTGTGTAATAATGTGTTACATTTATCGCATAGCAGGCATGGCCATTTAAATCAACCCTAATGCCTAATGGTTTGAATTCAGCTAGAACATTATCAACAAGAATTTAAAATTTGGAATAGTGACAATTGGGAATGACTGTTTAATAATTTCTCAACATTATATATGGGACTTAGTTTATTGTTTTAAAGTTAACTGATGGACAGATCTACCTCCTCTAGTCTTATCCTTACCTACAGTTTATAAGTTTTTTTTAATCCTTTCATTGCCACGTTGACAAGGCTGCAAGACCAATATTTGTTGCCTATTTCAATTGCCCTTAAGATGCAAACTTATGCTTGGCATCATTTGTACATTTTTTGATTTCTTTTTTAATATTGTCCAACTTTTCTGCTTCTTGCAGATGAAACTGCCTACTTGTGAGGTCAACAGAAACTACTTCAAATTGCAAAGATGGTTTGCATTTTCTCAAATTAGATTTTAAATTTTACTAATCAGAATGCTGACATAACTGCTGATAATTTACACCATATTCTTCTGTATTTCTAATTGGACGTATTGTAATGAGCAAAGTAACCAATCAGAAATGGTGCAGCCACTGCCTGTTGTACTTTTAATCATTCCATTGATATTCTTCAATTCTTTCATTTTGACCTATTCTGTCATTGCAAGGCCATGCTTGCCATGGATTCAGCATTCAAACACATTTCAATATGCAAGTATTGTTTCATTTAATGTTATTTGCATGAAATCAGAGAATACAATCAAATTGAATACATTGTGCCACAGACCTTCAGCACCTTTACTTTGATGACTGTGTAACATTTGCTTGAAAACTGGCTTAAATTCAGAAAACCAGTGATCACCATTGATTTAAATGAGGGGTGGAGATATGTTGATTACCTTCTAATGGTTTTCCGTAAGAGCAATGATGAAAGTCACAACAGTTCCAAGAAATGTTGGAGTTACATAGTTAATGGGATTAATGATAACTTGCTCCATATTTTGTTTGCCCTTTTGTGCCATTCAAGCACTTCTGCAATATCGATGCGCCTTATCAATGGTACAAGTCCCCAATGAATTCTGAACTAATATATCTAATATTTTTAAAAACTTAAGTCTTCATTCACTTTCCATCACCTCTTTCCATTAATATTTCCTGTATCCACATTTATATTAGAAACTATCTATGTGAACTTGCCATGCTATAATTGCACCCTCAGCCTTGCCATGCTATAATTGCACCCTCAGCCTATTAGAAATACTCAGTGCCGCAGCTCCTGAATTTGTAATTGCGCTATGTAAAGATAATATATGACATTAAAATGCGGACTAGATTACATTCTTCATCCTGCTTCAATTATGTTTCACCCACTAACCCTTTTTATTGTAACACTGTACTTAACCCATGTACTATGGATGAAAAGCCAACTAGTTTTTAACTTTGTTCTGGAATGTGGATGAAATTGCCAAATCTGGATTGCTGTGGTGGGACGGTATATGTCTGAACCATCCTGGGACTAGTGTTGAGATAGGTCATCAGCCAGGGATAGAAACGGATCAAGTTTAGGAAGGTGTGATACATTGAATAGAAAAGACAAGACGAGAGTTGCTAGTAATAATGGAAATGATTACCAGAGTGTGGCAAGAAGGGAGAGAGCATGAAAACTAAGAGTGGACCAAAATAAAGCAAGAGCTTATACAAATGGTTAAAAGACAAAACCAAAAGCTCTCTATTTGAATGCATGCACTTAAACAAAATAGATGAATTACTTGTATAAATAGAAATAAATATATTTGATCTGGTAGCTATTACAGAGACATGCCTGCAAATTGGTAAAGACTGAGACCTGAATATTCAAGGCATATGACATTTCAAGGAAAGATAGGAAGCTAGGAAAAGGTGACAGAATAGGGATGACGTACAAGAGTGAGAGTAATGACTCCAGTTAGGAACATCGAGATGTCAATTCAGTTTGAGTGCAGATGAGAAAAAGTTAAACTAGAAGTTTTTTGTGGAAGTCAATATGTAGGCCTCCTAACAGTGACCACATGGTAGGACAAGATATAATAGAAAAATAGTGGCAGTTTGTGAAAAAGATACAGTGATAATCATGTGCACGTTAAACCTATATATATTTTGGATGAATCAAATTGACAAAGGTAGCCTGGGTGATGCGGTGCTAGAGTGATTTCAGATACTTTCTGAGAGCTTTCTGTTAGCAGGTTCAAGAGCCAACCAGAGAGCTGGCTACATACATAGATCTGGTACATGTATGGTGTACGTATGACCTATGTAAATCTGATAATGTACAATGAGACATCATTAATGAAAGACCTCATAATAAAAGTGGAACTAGATAACAATTATCATAATGAGACTGAATATCACATTCAGTTTGAGGGAGAGAAGGGAACATGGTTCAGACTTAATAAGCACAGTTATGAGGGTATATATACAGCTGGTTAATGTGAACTGAGATTAGGTTATAGTCATCAGAATTGCAGTGACAGACATTTAATGAAATATTTCAGAATACTCAGAAAATGGGGCAACTTTTTCACACAGAAGGTAGTATGTGTATGGAATGAGCTGCTGGAAGAAGTGGTGGAGGCCGGTATGATTACAACATTTAAAAGGCATTTGGTTCAATATATGAATAGGAAGAGCTTAGAGGGATATGGGCCAAATGGGACTAGATTTATTTAGGATATCTAGTCAGCATGGACGAGTTGGACCAAAGAGTCTGTGTCCATGCTGTATAGCTCGATGACTCTATATGAGTTTTAGTCTTCTACAGAGTAAGTATGAGGAATTAATCATAGAAAATAGGTACACGGCAAATTACATTAAATTAGATCTTTTGTATCTGTCTTCACTGTAGAAAACAGTGCAAGCATCATCCCAGGAATAATTGTATGGTGAAAGGGAGTGAAGAGCTTAAAACAGTTATGAACACCAGTGAAAGGGTATTCAGAAAATTGCTCAAACCAAAAGTTGACAAGCTACGGATCCTGATAGACTTCATCCTGGGTGTTTACAGAAGTTGCTGCTCTTTCTTGAATAGAGGAGACAGAACCCTTTGCATCTGTCATAAGGAAACTGCTGGAATATTTTATTAAGGAGGATATAGTGGGAATATTGTGGAGTGCCACAGGATCAGTACTGATGTCACAATTATTTGCAAGTTTGCAAAGATACGTAGGAGAGTAATTGGGAAGAGGACATATGGAATCTGCAAGTTTGACAGTTGGAGTATACTGTAGAAAAATGTAAACTTGTCCATTTTGGCAGGAAGAATAGAAAACCAACATATTATTTAATGCAGAGAGAAATTGCAGAACTCTGAAGTATAGAGGGATCCGGGTGTTGTGGTTGGTTGGCTCGCCGAGCTGGTTCGTTGTTCCGCAGACGTTTCATTACCTTGCTGGGTAACATCATCAGTGCAGCCTCTGAAGAAGTGCTGCTGTGTTTACCCGCCTGTTATTTGAACTCAGGTGTCCATCAGGCTGGATTACCTCGCTTCCGGTTTTCCTTCGCAGTGGAGTGTTTATGGGGTCGAGCTCTATGTGTTTATTGGTGGCTTTCTTAGTGGAGTACCAGGCTCCTAGGAATTCCCGTGCTTGTCTCTGCTTTGCTTGTCCCAGGATCCTGGTGTTGTCCCAATCGAATTGGTGGTTCTCCTTATCCATGTGGATAGAGATGAGTGGGTATTGGTTGTGTCTTTTTGTTGTCAATTGATGTTCGTGTACCCTTGTGGTTAATTTCCTTTCTGTTTGTCCAATGTAGTGTTTGTCACAGTCTCTGCAGGGAAGTGTCCTTGTACTTCTTTAAAATTCACTCATGGGATGCGGATGTCGCTGGCTAATCAATTTTAGAAGATTACTATGTAGATATAGCTAGTGATTAAGAAGACAAGTGAAATGTTGTTACAAGGGGAACAGAAAATAAAGTTAGCTATGTTTTGCCACAGTTGTGAAGGTGAGGGGGAGGAGTGGAGTAAGCGTTAGTGAGACCGCTTCAAGAGTAGTGCATGCGGTGGTTTTGGTCTCCTTATTTAAGAATGAATGTAAAGATGCAAAAGAGGTTGCGAGAAGGTTCATTTATACCTAGGTTGTGACAGGATATAGGTTATCTTCTGAGAAAAGGTTGGACAGGGTGGGTCTGTTTCTATTGGAGTTTAGAAAAGTAAGGTTGCCTTATTGAAATCAGTAAGATTTTGAGAGTGTGGATGCTAGAAGGATGTTTCTCTTTTTGAGAGGCAAGGACCAGGAGGCACAGTTTAAAAAAGAAAGTATTTGTCTCAGAGTATCTTGAGTCTTTGGCACTCTCTTCTGTAGACAATGGTGAAAGCAGAGTCATTGAATATCTGTAAGGTAGAGGCAGATAAATTCTTGCTGAACAAGGGATGAAACATTGAGTAAGGAGGATGATGGAGTAAACAGAGGTAATCAGCTATGATGTTTTGAATGGTATAGCAAGCTGAAGGAGCTGAATGGCCTTTTCCTAATTCATTAATTTGTGCGCTTTTGTGTCTATTTCATTGGCCATCACAAGCAAACAGTGGAGTGAGAGCGGAGTCAAAAGGAAGCTATCCAGCATTGAAGCTGGAACCAGATAAGCATGACAAATTCCTGATTTCTGAAGGAAATTAATGAGTAAGCACATGTAACAACTCACCAATGGCCAGTTTGTTAAAATACATTTCACAGTTTGTCATTTTAAGATCTAAAATCACAATCTCCACTTCAGAACTGCAATCATTAGGTGATTATGTTCAGAAACTACATTGTAAAGTACAATGTTTTCAATTAATTCAAGTGCTTTTAGAATTACATTTTACAAGACGCCTTGTATTGTAGGTGCTCTGAAGCATTTGACATCATTGCAGATATTGATGCTACAAAATAATTGGCTTCATAAGATGGAGAAAGTCGTATCAGAATTCAAGAAATTGAGATGGCTGCACACATTAAGTAAGCAATTGTGTGTCTCTGACATATTAAACTGATTTGTATAGTGTTCCTATCATGTCGATTGGCACAGGCCACATTTAGCAAAGGTTATTACAGTAAAAATGAACCATACCACTAATTTCTTGGATTTTGTTTTGATGAATATTGCCGTAACAGCAGTAAGTTTTCAACAGCTGTCTCCAACTTGGTTTTTTTTCAATTCTGAGATTAATTGAAAATGATGCCCACAAATAATCAATTCACATCAGTGATCTGTAAAGAAAAAAGTTAGAATTACTGATTTGTAACAGTCACAAACATGCAATATGCTTTTCGCAATGGTGCATCTTTCATAGATAATTAACTGTTTTTTTTTCAACATGTACAAATGTTGGAATGTAACTGTAAGTTACACCAGTCCTGTTTACCCATCACCTTTGTGCTCTTATTCTGATTTTGCAGCCAGGTTTTGAATCTCACTAATGAACAGGGAGAGGATCATTTACATCTCATCGTGACCTAGTCTTGCATCATTAATATGTGGTTTGCTAATCTCTATTTTGCCAGGGAGGAACTAGATGCTACAGATGGGAGTGTCAGAGTGGGTACCTGGCAACTTCAGCTTCTTTCATGCTCCTCCAGGCCTCCAGCTCAGACAGCAATCCAATATCTCAGGTTACAAGGCATGGGCAATGACTGCCAGCAACCCCCAATCAACAGAGATTGGCATTAAACACGCAGCAGCCTCACCACGACCCCATGGCACATTTTCGACTCAGAATATGGTTTTCCTCTTCATTACTTCATTTTGGAGGACACCAGTACCTTGCAGTTAATACTACTGCTGAACCCACTTTGTGCATAGAGAAAAACGCCCCCTTCGTGGATTGGACCAGGGTGCATCTTGGAGGCCCTAGCTTACTCTCCTAGCTCACACTGACTTTTCACCTATTTGGATGAACACAGCATCTTTGCCTTGCCTTGCTTTGCCACTTCATTTGGAACTCAGAGGTTCACAGTCCTTCTGTCTTACCTTGCCTTTCAGTGCAGACTCAAAGCATGACAGCTTGTTATGATAATCAGCAACGAGCAGTTGAGGGGTGGACATTTTGATTTGATTTGATTTATTATTATTGTCACATGTACCAAGTTATGGTGAAATGTATTATTTTGTGTGTTACCCAGGCAAAGCATACCTTACATTAGTACTTCAGGGTAATAGAATAGAATGCAGAATACAGTGTTACAGCTACGAAGAAGGTGCAGAGAAAGATCGACTCTTAATATTTGAGATGTCCGTTCATAAGCCTGATGACAGTGGGAAGAAGCTGTTTTTGAATCTATTGGTACGTGCTTTCAAACTTTGTACCTTCTGCCCGATGGAAAAGGTTGGAAGAGAGTACAACGGGGTGACAGGGGTCTTTGATTATGCTGGTTGCTTTCCCGAGGCAGCGGGAAGTATAGATGGAGTCAGTGGAAGGAAGGCTTGTTTGTGTGATGGACGTGGCTGCATTCACAACTCTCTGTAATTTCTCGTGGTCTTGGGCAGAGCAGTTGCCGTACCAAACTGTAATGCATCTGCGTAGAATGCTTTCTGTGGTGCATCTATAAAGATTGGTAAGAGTGGGTTGTGGAATTTCCTTAGCCTTCTGACGAAGTAGAGGTGTTGATGTGCTTTTTTGACCGTAGCAATGACGTGGATGGAACAAGACAGATTGTTGGTGATATTTACTCCTAGGAGTTTGAAGCTGTCAACCATCTTCACATCAGCACTGTTGATACAGACAGGGGCATGTCCTCCGCTCAGCTGCTAAAGTCAATGACCAGCTCCTTTGTTTTGCAGACATTGAGGGAGAGATTGTTGTCTTTACACCATACCACTAAGGTCTCTATCTCTTCCCTGTACTCTGTCTCTTTGTTGTTTGAGATCCAACCCACTACAGTGGTGCCATCAGCAAATTTGTAAATGGCATTAGAACTGAATTTGGTCACATTGTCATGAGTATATAAGGAGGAAAGTGAGAGACTGCGTACGCAGCCTTGTGGGGCACTGGATTTGAGGATCACCAATGGAGGTGGTGTTGTTGCCTATCCCTATTGATTGTGGTCTGTGGGTCAGGAAGTCGAGAATCCAGTTCCAGAGTCCTAGGTCTCCGAGTTTGGAGATGAGTTTGGTTGGACCTGTGGTGTTGAAGGCAGAGCTAAAGTTAATAAATAGGAGTCTGATGTAGGTGACCTTGTTATCCAGAAGTTCCAGGGATGAGTGTATGCCTAAGGACATGGTGTCAGCTGTGGACCTACTGTGACAGTAGGTGGACCTATTGTGATGGTCAGTGAAATGATATCATCTGCTCCAACTGCCTCAGGTGCACCTGAATCCACAGTCAGCACCATGTTGCTGTATGGCCGTCTTCTACATCAATGTCATACCTACTCTATGTACCAGCTGCATCCACAGCAAGTATACTGAATGTGCTTCAATTAGCCAGCAATCAAAGTCAAATGGGAGTAGCCTTCAGTCAAGTCTAAGGAGATTGCCTTAAGTCAGAACGTACCAGCACTGTAAGTCAATTGCATCATCTGCAATCAGACCAGACTGAATGATCATTCAGCTGCTTGGGATGTCCAAGGTAAGGGGTCCATACTTTTCCATACTGGGGATGGGTCATGTCCAGTGTTGCAAGACTAGTTGAACCAGTCTGGAGAGGAGTCAGGGAGCTGCTCAGAGGTCAATCAGGGGGCTAGCTACTCATCACCCAGGGCTATCTTTCCAGGTCATTTGGGGTGGGGTGGGGGTAAGCCACAATCAGTCCAGATGGTCTATTCATGAAAAGTTTAGGCGGACAATCAAGGGGACACTCTACTGAATGGGGTGCTAGGGAAATCAGAGGATCAGAGGCACCATATTGGGGACAGTAATTGTGAAGGGTGGTGACTCAACTTCTGAGGATGGGAGATGATAAAGCATGTGCAAGGATTACTATGGCAGGAGTGGAGTTACAGTAATCACTACGGCTTTGATAACAAGACACTGTATCACTATTTTTTAGCCAATCGCTCATAAGTAATTGGATTAATTTAAGGGAATCTTGATTGTGTAGTGAATGTAACAAGATTAGCCATTGTAGAATATGAGTTCCCTGATTGGTGCTGTTAATTTGGTCCAATCAGGGAGCCCTGGCTGCCAGGTAAGAACAGGAGTGTCAGACACCTGAGAGTTGGCTGTGATGGAGCTGGATCAGTTTCATTGACTCTCCATGTGCAACCAAAGGGTGAGTTGATGACGGGATATCGGCCTATGTGGAGTTTCTTTCAGTGGTGAAGAGAAAAAACATGCTCCTGAAGAAATTCGCTCGCAACAGTCATCTTTGAGTTGGGTAAGCATTTCTGGCACTGTGCCTTTATTTTAGAAGCATGACTCATTTGATCATGCTGTTACAGACTAGTTCCAGTGTGTGGAAAGAATGTGTTTTTTTTTCTGGGAAAATTACATTGTGGCAGATGGAAAACAATGAGTAATTTTCCTGGTGGCTTGTGGCCCTGCAGCTTTTTCAGTTATTAGGAGCCTAACTTTCCCTGAGGGGCCAGATACTAAACCTTTCAAGAGTTGATGGATTTAGTTAAGGAATATTACGACCGCAAGCCTTTTGTAATTCTGAGATGCTATCGGTTTTACTTGGCAATTCGAGACCCAGAGAAATCCGTATTACGATTTTTGACGAGGTTGAGATGACTGGCAGAGGCTTGTGACTTTAGTTTAATCCTTAATGAGATGCTGATAGACCATTTGGTATGTAGGATTAATGATGTAACCATGCAAAAGCACCTACTAGCTGAAACCTAACTGGACTTCCATTGGGCACTACAACTGGCTTTATCTTTGGAAAATGTAGCAAGTGGAGCATATGAGATGCAGGGTATTCGGATGGAAGTGGACACTCTTGCCAGTCTGACTAAATGTGGGGGAACATCATTGAGTGAAGCCAATTGCATTGCCTGACTCAGGACTCTAGGTCAGCCCACAGCAAAACCCCAAAACAAAGCCAAGCCTCGGCCAAACAGTTAAAATTTTCTTTAGGATCTGGGCTGGTAAGCCATTGTAGCTGCTGTCATTATGTGGATTCATAGCAGCAAAAGAGTCTCACTAAACCTAAATGGAGTAAGAGAACTCAGGCTGGTGTCCAGGAGAATGCACATCCTGGAATGTCCACCTACATCTGGTTTGGAACAGTTAAATTGCTTAGCGACATCCAAAACAGAACTAATCAAAATAAACGTCTTGTTAAATGGTCACCCAGTTCTGACAGAGGTCGATACTGGGGTGGCTGTTTCAAAGTTCGCAGAACCAGTCTTTAACAAAATTCGCTCTGGACTCCAACCCTTAAGTCTGCGGAAGACCTCAGCTAGACTGAAAACTTGTACTGGGGAACCGTTACAGATTAAGGGTACAACTTTGGTTCCAGTTTCCTATGAGAAGCAGCTGGTTCAGTTACCACTGATTGTGGTTAAAAGGATCAAGCCCAACCTTGATGGTACGGAATTGGTTGAGAAAGATTCATCTAGATTGGCCCAACATTTTCTGATTTGTAAATGGCTGCCTGAGTGAAGTCCTAATTAAACACCTAGAAGTTTTTCAGGAAGGACTATCGAAGGTGCCAAGGCACTTTGCAAGTTGACCAGGAAGCAATACAATGATTCTGCAAGGCCTGCCCAGTGATATTTGCCTTACGGACAAAATTAAGCAGAAACCAGAAGGCTGAAAAGTGCAGGAATCATCAAACCAGTCCAGTTTGCGGAATGGGCAGCACTGGTCGTACCAATTATGAAGCCTGACAGGTCAGTTTGCCTTTGTGGGGATTTTAAACAAACAGTAAACTGCTTTTTGCAGTGGGCTAAGTACTCAATTGCTTCCATAGAGGATTTATACACAAAGCTGGCAGGGGGACTCTCCTTCACAAAGCTGGACATGAGCTATGCATACCTGCAATTGTGGTTAGATGAGGGTTCCCAGAAGTATGCTACAATTAATACCTAAAGCGGTTTGTACCAATATATGAGACTGCCATTTGGGGTATTGTCAGCCTGTGTAATTTTTCAGTGGATGATAGAAAACATTTTACAAGGTCTACCCTAGGTTGCCATTTATCTAGATGACGTGCTAGCAAGCAGGAAGACCAATAAAGAGCACTTGGAGAATTTAGGATAATGGTTCTCCCAAGTGGGCATACACCTTAGAAGGGAAATATGTGTGTTCCAGGCACTCCAAGTTGACAAGACTGGTTTTCACCCGTTGGAAGGTAAAAGGTGCCCTAGTTTCCACATCTATTCTAAAGCTTAGGTCTTTCCTTGGGCTGGTGAATTATTACGGAAAGTTCATACATAACCTGGACTCCATCTGGGCACCTTTGCATCAGCTCTTTAAAAAAAGGATCAGTGTTAGAAATGGTCGCGAAGCCAGGCTTTCGCTTTCAGGGCAGTGAAGAAACAGCTGTCATCCTCTGAGGTGTTGGGACACTATAATTCAAAACAAGATCTGGTGTTGACATGCCATGCTGCCCTGTAAGACATTGGGGTAGTATTAGCTCATACATAGATGGCTTAATGGAGAGGAATGCCCAATGGCATATTCATCCAGGATTTTGTCTAATGCAGAACATAAATATGTCAAGATAGAGAAGGAAGGTTTGGCAATCATATTTGGAGTCAGGAAGCTCTACAGATGTAAATTTATAATAATAATGGACTATGAACCTCGGCTGGGTCTACTTAAAGAGGACAAGGCCGTGTTGCCATAGCTTCAGGCCAAATTCAGCAGTGACCCCTAATACTAAGTGCATATAATTATGAGTTGGAACACCATCCGGGAGGCCAAGTAGCAAATGCGGATGCATTGACATGCCTCCGACTGGCAGATGCACCAACGGTGGTACCGCTGCTGGAAGACTCTGTAATGGTTTTAAATTTTTTGGACACAGTTCCAGTTACAGCTGACAATGTCAGACTTTAAACGCAGGAAGATCTGCTCCTGGCAAAACTGAAACAGCAAGTGGTGATGGGGGATCCAAAGGGCCATCATAACCAGAACTGAAATCTTTTTGGATCTGGAGAGACTAGATCACTGTAGAGGACAACATATTATTGTGAAGAGCAACAGCAATTGACCCAAGCAAAGATCAACCACCAGATACTGGCTGAACTCTTCCAGGATCGTCCAGGTGTTTCCAAAGTGAAGATGTTGGCGAGGAGTTATGCCTGGTGGCCAGGATTAAATGCAGACATGGCTGCATTGGTGGGGCAGTGCCCAGACTGCCAACAAGGACAAATGTTACGCCAGTAGCTCTCCCACATTTGTGAGAATGGCTAGGTAAACCTTGGACTCGGTTACACATTGATTATGTAGGTCCTTTCATGGGCTTAATGTTCTTAGTCATTGTGGATGTCCAATCGAAGTGGCTGGACGTGCATAAAGTTCATTTGTCAAACACTGGGACAATGATAGAAAAACTGTACACTTCTTTTGCAACATACGGACTCCAGGAAGTTTTGTTCACAGATAATGGGCATTCATTTATCGGCAGGGAGTTTTGAGTATTTCCTTAAGTCAAATGGATTTGACATATGAGAACAGGTCCATAGCATCCATCATCCACTGGTATGGCAGAAAGAGCAGTCCAAACTTTGAAAGCAGGCTTAAAGAAACAGCCTACAGCTTCACTACGTAACAAACTGCCCGGGATCCTTTTTCATTATTGGACCATCCCTCTTGCAACTACTGGAATAGCTCCAGCAGAGATGCTAATGGGGAAAAGATTCCACACCAAGTTAAATCTGATCTTCCTGGACCTGGGCATGGGGAGGGTGAAACGGCATCAGGAATGTTAATACCGGACACAAGACTCTGCTAAGCAAGAGAGACAGTTTATTTCAGGGGACAAAGTTTGGTGTACGAACCACAAGAATGTCCCTGCATGGCTAAGAAGCATAGTCAACGCGAGGTCAGATCCAGTGACATATAAAGTTTGAGCCAGTGCAACGGTCCTGAACAAGCATGTAAACCATATGCAAGCTGCAAACTCGCAGATGGTGAGGAAGCAAAATGTGCCTGGCTTCTCAACAGCTTTCTTGACTGTTCCAGATCCTATGGATTCTCCCTGTCTGTCAAAAATTGAAGATACTTTGGAATCTGAGATGGACATGGCAGAGAGGGCTGCCTTGATACCTTTGCCACCTGAGGAAGGGAATGAATTTGACCGTGATATTCCTGGTGTAATGTGAGCTACTCTGCGTTACATGCCACCCATATCAGAGGCAGCGTTGGAGGAACCTGACCCAGTGCTAAAATGCCGCAGCCAGAGCTATAAAAAAAAACAGCCAATGTCCTTGACTCATAGAGGGAAGGATGCAGTGATGGTAATGAGGTCAGCCAAGTGGACCTCATAGAACATGAGTTTCTTGATTGGGGCTATTAATCTGGTTTCAACAGGGAGCCCTGGCTGACAGATAAGAGCAGGAGTGTCAGACATTCCATCAGCTCTCAGGGAGCTGGATCAGTGTCAAGGACTCTCTATGTGTAAATAAAGGTTGACTTGGTGATGGAGTACAGGCCTCTGTGGGGTTATTTCAGAATGCAAGTTATTTTGATTCCACAACATAAAAGTGCATTGCAGGAAAGCTGGTCTAACAATTTTTTTAATGGCTTGATAGTTCCATTTTTAAACTATTTATTCATGAGTATGAGTATTACTAAGAAGGCCAGCATTTTCTTCCCTAAAAAACATTAATGAATTAATTTTGATACATTTGGGTGTTTTCACAGTTATTATTAATTCATTTTTAATTGATTGGGGGTAAATTCACAGAGTTGTATGGCTGGATTTGAACTCATTTTTCCTGGTCGTTCGTCCAGGTCTCTGTATTACCAATCCAGATTCACTGTCTTTGTACTACTGTGCCCTATTTTTAGGAAAGATAAAGAGCTGGTAAAGCAATGGAGGATTTTTGTTGTGTTGTGTTGTGTGTTTGTATCAAATTTTCATAGCACGCGTTTAGACCAAATGTTGTTTCATAAAACAAAGTCTATTTAATTTCAGTTTAGTACTGTTGATGAAAGAAGTCACAGTTCTGGATGATGTTAATACATTTATTTTAGCAACTGAGCAAAAATGATAAACTTGATCTACACCTCCGCCTCACCTCCAAGGCATCAAACACACCTTCCACATTAGACAGAGGTTCACCTGCACATCCATCAATGTGGTCTATTGCATCCGCTGCTCCCGATGTGGCCTACTATACATTGGTGAGACCAAGTGGAGACTCGGAGACTGCTTTCTGGAGTACCTGCACTCTGTTCGCGACAAACGACAATACCTTCCGTTTGTGAACCATTTCAATTCCCCCTCCCACTCCCTGGGTGACATGTCCATCCTGGGCCTCCTCCAGGGTCATAATAACACCACCCACAAACTGGAGGAGCAGCAACTCATATTCCGTCTCGGGAGTCTACAGCCCAATGGCCTAAATGTGGATTTTACCAGTTTCAAAGTCTCCCCACCCCCAGCCTCATCCCATAACCAACCCACCCTCTCATCTGCACCTCGTTGACCTGACACAACCTGTCCATCTTCTCTCCCACCTATCTGCCCCTCCCACCTCACTGACCAATCCCCACCACTCCCTACCCCAACTCACCTATCACCATCCAACCTACCTTCCCCAGTCCTACCCCTCCTTTCTATTTATTTCTGAGCTCCCTTCCAGCCTGACCTGCTGTGTTCCTCCAGCTCCACACTGTGTTATCTTTGACTCCAACATCTGCAGTTCTTACTGTCTCTTGTTCAATATCATGGTGCCTTGCAAAACAAAAATGATTTGAGATTAGTCTCTCCCATTCTTCTTGATCTTTATCAATTTTCATCCTCACATCTCTCCTGAAAGCAACAATACTTTTGGGCCTCTTTTCCACTTACCTGCGCTTTGGCAAATAACATATTACCAACAACAGTCAAATAAAGATCAACATATTCACAGGATAAACCCAATCAAGTAAGCCATCTTCTTAATTATAGGTGCAGTCAACAAATGCAGTTCAGATAGGTAATCGAATGTAACATTTTCCTGGTCTGTATCACTCCACTAAACCTAATTGCTGAAGTATTAGGAACAAATTTCTTTTTAATTATCTTTAAATAAGAAAATAAAACCTGTATTTGATAGCAGCACACTAAATGTGTGCCAAAGTACCATAATTTGAGCTGTTAACAAAACTTTCAACTTGAAAATATACACTTTGCACCAAATCAAACCATTCAACTAATCTTCCTATGTGTTCAAAGTATCTAAACATTCTTAAGTATTTAATATCAAACTGTGAACACCAGCATAGTAACATCACTTTTCTTGGTGTAATTTGAAGTTGTTAATTTCATTCTCTTTCAGATTTATTCAATAACCCTTTGACGCAGGAGCAAGATTATCGTCTTTATGTCATCTACCATATGCCTTCAGTACAGCTGCTCGATAGACAATGTCAGTTATTCAAAACTTTAAACTTTATGTTTGAAAATTCTGAAATTCTGTTGCTAATGAAGTTACAGTGCATACTCATTCCTTGTACAGTGATTACTCCGAAGGAGCGAGATACTGCTTTTGGTAACTTCTGTCAAGACCAATTCCGAGTGCACCAATCTTTGGCTTTTGGGCAGAGAAAACCATGTCTTACTGTTCAACAGATCACATCAAAGAGAAGTTATAAGAAATATCCAGGTGGGGACTTGGTTATTACTTAAGTAAATAATTACACTTAATTTGTGAAATTAATTTTATCTTTTAAAAATACAATGTCTTCAACTAACAAAATAAATGTTACCATCATATAATGGATGGTTTATTTAAAACACTTCATAATTACCGTCACTTTACTTACAGACATTGATGAAACTAGGTTGTAAATATGGTAGAGTTGAAGGGGAGAAGAATTTTTTCAAAAGTGCATAAAGAAGTGTGTATCTGTAACTTGGCAGTTATGACTCATTATGCAGGATTTATAATAAATCAAACTCCAGGCATCCAAAACTGACAGCTACTTATAAATTGAGTTTGAGCATTCTTGAGACCCATCCTCCTTACGTTTGCCTTTGATAAAATGTCTTAAGTTGGCATAATCTCACATCTGGAGTCCCTGTCTCAGTATTTTATTAGAAAAATTTGAGTGCTGTCAATAATAGTCATTGATGTTCCTCGATGCACATTGGTACATGTGGACCATCAGCAGTACCTATAATGCGTAACCTCAAGATGTAGTGTATCTCAAACTTTGCAATTACAATCAAGTCGGGAGAATCAACCCAGATACAATGCGGAGTGTTGAGCAGCATGTGTCAAATGTATCTAAAAATGAGCTCCCACAAGCAATAGATCAGATTAAAACTCTTCATTTCTGCCATATCCAGTCCTGAATCTGGTGCACAATCAAACAATTAAAAGAAGGAGGAGGCTGCATGATGATTTGTATCCTCAATAATGAATAAACTTAGTATGAGTGCATTGGGCAAAATTGCAGTGTTGACAACCATCTCAGGCAGAAATGCTGGGCTGAGTGATCCACCACTATCTCAATGCAAACCTTCGGCTATATTGACCACTGAATGTGATATTAATAAACAGCTGAGTACACTGAGTTAAAGACCTGGACAACAGCACAGTTAAAGTACTAAAGCTTTGTGCTTCAGACTAACCATGCAATAATCCAACCTGTTCTAATATGCCTGCAAAACTGACCTCAAGCTAATAATATGTTCAGATCGCAAGGCAGATTGGACCATTTACTGTCTCATCAACCTTTGCAACCCAATTTGGGTTCTTCTAGGACAACTGTGTTCCTGACCTTGTTAAGGATTGATAAAAGTATGGATAAAAGCCGAATTCAGAAGTGAAGTAAAAGTGTCTGTCCCTAATATCAAAGGAGCACTTGAGTGTGTATGGCATCAAAGACTGCTAGCAAAATGGATACCTTTGAGAACTGGGGAGAGGGTGGGCAGAATATTCCATGAGTTGAAGTCCTACCCAACATATTTTTTAAAAGAAACCACTTACAGGATGTGGCCAAGAATGCATTTATTGCACATCTCTAATTGCTCTTGATGCCATTGTGAGTTATCCCTTTGACCACTGAATGACTTGATAAGTAATTTTAGAAAACAGTTAAGAGTCATCCATATTGCTGTGGGCGTGGCATTATTTAAGAGCTATACCACATTGTTATGGCCCCTTATGGCCCTTCCCTAAAGATCATAGGGAGAGATGGTGACAAAGTAGTAATGTCTTTGGACTAATAATTCAGAAATCCAGGCTAATGCTCTGGGGACATGGATTCAAATCCCACCAATGGCAGATGAGAAATTTAAATTCAATAAATATCTGGAGTTAAAAGCTATCCTAATGATGGCCCAAGACCATTGTCAGTTGTCATAAAACTCATCTGGTTCACTAATATCATTTGGGAAAGGAAATCCTTAACTGCTACACAGCCTGTTCATCCTGCTAAGTCCTTCTTACCAAGATTTTGGCTTGTGCCAAAACTAGGAGAGTGATCCCTTAGACTAGTCAAGCAGTAGCCTGACATAATCGTATCTATGGAATCATGCATTACAGATAATATCCTAGACACTAGCATTCCCATCCCTGATTATGTCCTGTCACAATGCTATATGGTTAGGCAGGAGTTGCCTTGGGTGTCTTCAACATTGACACCAGCCTCATGAAGTCAAGTCAAATGTGAACCCTGTTCCCAATCAGCTGATGCAACATTTGGAGGAAGCACTGAGGGTGGAAGGGCACAAAGTGTACTCTGGATGGGAGACTTTAGTGTCCATCACAAAGAGTGGCTCAGTAGCACTGATATCAGTTGAGGTGCTCGAGTCCTAAAAGACAAATCTGCTAGACTGGGTCTGCAGCATGTGGTGAGGGAGCCATTAAGAGAGAAAATATATGTGATTTGATTTGATTTATTGTTTCACATGTACATGAGGACAGTGGAAGGTTTTGTTTTGCGAGCAGTATAGGCAGATCATAACAAACAAGGACATATAGATTATAGGGTTGTTTAGACAGAGTGAGGCATATAGGTTAACAACTGCACAGGAGGTGCACAAAAGCAAAATCAACATTAGCTTTGAGATTAGAGGGGTCCAATCAGCAATTTAATAATGGCAACGAAGAAGCTGTTTTTGAACCTGCTGGTACACGTGTTCAGGTTTTTGTATCTTCTGTCTGATGGAAGATATTGAAAGAGAGTATTACTGGGGTGGGAGGGGACTTTGATGTTGGCAGCCTTTCCATGGCAATGGGAAATATAGATGGAGTCCATGGATGGGAGGTTGGCTTTCGTGATGGTCTGGGCTGTGCGCACAACCTTCTGCAGTTCCTTCTGGTCCTGGGCAGAGCAGTTTCTGTGTCAAGCTGTTATGCACCTAGATAGAATAGATATAACCTCATCTTCGTCACTCTACCTGTCGCACATGCATCTTTTTATGGCAGTATGGGTAAGAATGACCACCATATAGTCATTACGGAGATTAAATCCGCTGTTTGCATTGGGGTTATCTTCCATCATGTTAGGTGGCACTTAGGGGAAGGGATAGCAGTCACGGGCCCAAGTGCTGCTCCTAATAGAGTCTCGGTCCTTCCCAACCCTTAAACTGAACACCACAAGCCCAACTCCCCAAATATTGGACCTTATTGTACCTCCCCTGTCCTGGGCCCTGGTGGCATTACCACCATGCTGAATGGGACAGACTTCAAACAAATCTAGCAACTCAAAACTGGGCATCCACAACGTACTGTGGGCTATCACTAACAACAGAATTGTTTTAAATCATAATCTGTAACCTCATGCCCTGGCATGTTGCCCAATCTAACATTATCATCAGGCCCAGGAGACAAGCCTGGTTGGATGAAGAGTGCAGGAGGGCATGCCAAGAGCAACGCCAGGCATACCTAAACATTATGTGGGTCCTGACAATATTCCTGTCAATAGTACTGAAGACACATGCTCTAGAGCTAACCGTGCCTCCTGATCCAGCTGTTCTGGCACAACTACATCACTGGCATCTACCTGGCAATGTTGCACATTACCCTAGCATATCCTGTGCAAAAAGGGCAGGACTGATTCAATTTGATGAATTACGATCTTGTCAGTCTGCTCTCAACTGAATATGAAGTCACAGAAGATGTTGGCATATCTATTTAGCAATACTTGCAAAGAAATAACCTGCTCACTGATGCTCAGTTTGATTCCCACCAAGGCCAGTTGGCTCCTAACTTCATTACAGCCTCAGTCCAAGCAGTATCAAATGAGGTGAACTCTAGAGATGAGTTGAGAGTCACTGCCCTTGATTTCAGGGCAGCAGTAAATCAAGTAAACAATCTAGGAGCCTTAGCAAAACTGGAATCAATCGAAATTGGGAGAAAGAACAATTCATTGGAAATGAAAATGGTGATTAGATCACACAGAATAGAGGGAAAACTAGCCATTTGGATACAGAACAGGCTTGAAGTTAGAAGACAGAGGGTGGTGTTGGAGGGTTGTTTTTCAGACTGGGGACCTGTGACCAGTGGTGTACCACAAGGATCAGTGCTGGGTCCACTGCTTTTTGTCATTTATATAAATGATTTGGATGTGAACATAGGAGGTATGGTTAGTAAGTTTACAGATGACACCAAAATTGGTGGTGTAGTGGACAGTGAAGAAGGTTACCTCAAACTACAAAGGGATCTTGATCAGATGAGCCAATGGGCCGAGGAGTGGCAGATGGAGTTTAATTTGAATAAATGTGAGGTGTTGCATTTTAGTAAGGCAAACCAGAACAGGACTTAATGGAAAGGTCCTTGAGAGTGCAGCTGAACACCGAGATCTTGGAGTTTAGGTTCATAGTTCCTTAAAAGTAGAGTCACAGGTAGATAGGATAGTGAAGAAGGTGTTTGGTATGCTTACCTTTATTGGTCAATGCATTGAGTATAGGAGTTGGGATGTCATATTGAAGCTGTACAGAACATTGGTTAGGCCATTATAGGAATACTGCGTGCAGTTCTAGTCTCCCTACTTTAGGAAGGATGGTGTGGAACTTGAAAGGGTTCAGAAAATATTTACAAGGATGTTACCAGGGCTGGAGGGTTTGAGCTATCGGGAGAGGCTAAATAGACTGGGGCTATTTTCCCTGGAGCATCAGAGGCTGAAGAGTGACCTTATAAAGATTTATAAAATCTCGAAGGGCGTGGATAGGGTAAATAGGCAAGGTCTTTTCCCCGGGGTGGGAGAGTCCAAAACTAGAGGGCATAGGTTTAAGGTGAGAGGGGAAAGATTTAAAAGGGACCTAAGGGGCGATGTTTTCATGCATGTATGGAACGAGCTGCCAGAGGAAGTGGTGGAGGCTGGTACAATTACAACATTTAAAAGGCATTTGGGTGAATAGGAAGGATTTAGAGGGATATGGCCCATATACTGGCAAATGGGACTAGATTTATGTAGGATATCTGGTCAGCATGGATGAGGTGGCTTGATGGGTCTGTTTCCGTGCTGTATATCTCTATGACTATGACTCTATTATGTTTGTTGGAAATCAATAATCCCAGCCCAAGGACATCACTGCAGGAGCTTCTCAGGATAGTGTCTTAGCATCAATCATCTTCAGGTACTTTATCAATGACCTTCTTTTCATCATAATTTCAGAAGTGGGCATGGTCTCCTTAAGCTACCTGAGTCGATG